AGCCAGGAGGGCTGGGTAGCCACAGGGGTGCAGGCCAGAGAAGATCCGCCACAAGCTTGCCCTCTTCTACACGTCCCATCACTCACACCCTCCCCACCTTCTCAATGTCCCTGCATCTCCCACCTCAGGTCAGAAACACCCTTCACCCAGGAAATGGTCTCAGCTCAAAGGTCACTTCCTCTCAGCAGTCCTCCCTCCTCCCCATCACTGTAGTCTATCTAAAAACACAGTGATAGAGAAGCCCTTCCAAAAAGTATTTCCTCTCCAGAGCTCACCAAAACAAAACCGGCAATGGCAGAGCCATGTACCTATGGTTACATTTTGTATAGAATCTGTCTCCCTAGCCTAGGGGAGGACTACATCCGTTTTCTTCACACTGTCCCCTGCAGGGGCCCAGGACCTGGGATATAAGATGTGCACAGCAAATCTCACTCAACTGAATGCAGATGAGAAATGGAGAAGAACTACCTGCCACACCCATCTCTTTAAGCAGGTCCCGGCAGGGAGCACACACAGGTGAGGGCAAGGGGGTGCCCAAAGGATTCTGTGCAAGGCCCAGGATAAGAGGCTGCATTCTCACCAAGACAAACAAGCATGCCTGTACCATGTGCCTACACATAAAAGCACGTGTGCACAAGTGTGTGATCATACATAAAAGCATGTGTGCACAAGTGTGTGATCGTGTGAGTGGCAGGGTGTGTACCCATTCGTGTGTGTGTGTGTGTGTGTGTGTGTGTGTAGGGTCTATGTACCCACATTCCAGCAGACAGGCTTCCAATCTGCCTGGCTCCTGGAAGCCCAGGTCAGGTCAGTCATGGAGTTACAATAGCTGACTGTGTGCTCAAGCATATCAGGGTGTTCACAACCCAGTCCCCTATCCCTCCACAGAAACCCAGAACCTAGAATAGCCAGACTGTCCTCTCAGGAATCTAACACCTTTATCCAAAGCTCAGAAAAGAATCCAGATGGTGGGGATTACCCTGAGGTCATCCTTGGGAGTGGGGCAGATAAAATGCAAGACCTCCCCAGCCACATCCTTCAGCCTGTCCCTCACACCTTCCTTATCCACTACAAACACCTACCCAGTCTGCAACGCATAGCTCCTCCTAAGCTCCAGAAAGCCATCCCAACTACCATGGCCCCAACCCACCTCCACCATAGCCAGTTTGCTAAATATCACTCAAGGGCCGGGGCTGCCTCAGTGCCCAGAAATGCTGTCATATGGTAGAGGCAGAGCAACTTGTTGACACCCAGGGAGTGAAAGCCCACCAGGTAAAGCCTTGGGAAGCCTTCCCCCCATTTCCTTAATGGGTAAAAAGAAGTTTGACCAAATGACCTGAATCAACCTCTTAACAGTGCATGGATTTAGATTTCCAAGATTAGATAGACAAACATCATCAGATACAGACCTTACATGTGCCTTCTCAGGTACAGCGAAAGCCCAACCAAACAGCCCAGAGAAGTGCCAGCATGGTACTACAAAAACACCAGAAGTTCAGGAGATACCAAGTGTTCCAGCAGTCTTTGTGTAAGGTCCATTCATATGTTCAACATGGTACTCTTTGGATAACTGATCCAGGTAGCTGCTACCTCAGATGCTACGGACGTCATAAAAACCACAAGGCCAAGGCACTGGGAAATCAGAACACTAACATCACCCCCCAGGTGTTGCTCACTGGACTGCTGCAATAGTTGACACTTCATAAAGAAGAAAATCTTTCTCCCCACATCAACTATCTGACCATAGGCAGCTGGGTGTGTAGGGAGGAAGGGGTTTTATGAGAGGGAAAGTTCTAGAAGAGATCACAGGTCCCTCTCTCAGGATGCGCAAAGGGGTTCCTGCACTGTGCACGGATCCTAGTGAGACCCACAGTACTACTGGATTCCAGTCCTAGCAATGGCCCAGCCAATTAGTCTCCAGAGAGCTCCAGGGCTCAGTTTCCTCACCTGTAAAATTGGGGTCATAACAATGAAGATAAGATACTTCCATACTGATAAAGGCTTATAGGACATGGTCTGACACAAATGAGCTCCCTGTGTCACTAAATAAATGAGGCAGTAAGAGTCTACTTGGTAAGATCCTAAATCAAAGATCGGATGATGCCAAAGCTTGAGATGTCAAAGGTTCTGAGCTAAGAAGCTGCTAAGGTTCTGAGATGGGGAGAGATTCTTAGATTCCAAGGTTTAATTATCTCATTATTTCCTAACAACAATCCTGAGCCTCCCAGGGGAAGATAACAGACCTCAATATAACTTCATTTCCCAGGCACTGCCAAGCCACCAAGGCTGCTGCCACACCTGGACCACCTCCCCTGGCCCCCTCCCTCCCCCCACCTCCCCTACCTCCCAGCCTGGCCTCAAGTCTGCTGAAGGATCAGCCATACCTTGCTCAAAGCTGGCATAACCTCAATGTCCTAGTTGGAGTAGTCAGGCAGAAGTACACATAACCCAAAAAAGAGCCCCAAAAGCAATCCGAAAGGCTTACGTGATGGAGGGTGACAGCAAAAAGCTATTATAGAGCAAATGGTCAGGGAAGCCCCTCTGAGGAGGTAACATTCGGATGGGGTGAGCAAATTTCAGAAACAACATTCCAAGTGAAGGAATGTGCAAAGGCCCTGTCAACAAGGCTTTGGTAAATTCAAGGTAGAGAAAGAAGCCAGAGAGCTGAAGGTAGAGACTGAGGAGCAGGGCAGAAGTGGTGAGGCTGAAGAGTAGGCAGGGCTTTCACAGACCAAAAAGGGCCTTGAAGATCAAGAATGAATTTTGGATTTTTTTTCTTCTAAATGTCAAAAAAAAAAAAAAAAGGCAGGCCTGGCAAGGTAATCAACAATCCTTAGAATTCATTGTGTATATGGATAGAGCTCCTACCATATGCCTCATAAAGGCTTGGATGATATCAGATACATCAGTCTACAACCCATGAGAGATTCAGGAATAAGGAAAAGAAGGCTCAGAAGAGGCAAGAGAGTGTTCAAAACAAGTGTCACAAATGGGTCTTGATCTCAGGATGCAAGTCTATCACTATTACAGTCTATGGAACTCCTATTCTCCAAGAGACCTTCCTTGGAGTCTCTGATAGGCACTCACTGAATGCCAGCTGCCCTGACTGGTGAGCCTGAGGCCTCAGCTCTTATTGTTGGCTCTAGAGACTTCACAGGACTACACTTGCATCTCACTTCTCTCCAACATGGGCTTGGGTGGTTGGTTGGATGGATGGATTGATGGACAGATGGATGGTTAGATGAATGGATGGGGTGGATGGATGGACAGAAAAACAGACCACTGAAATAACTGATCAATGAATTAATGAATGGGCAACAAAGGAATATATAAATAATATAGAAACAAATGAATGGGTAATCTAGCCAAAAACAATGAATGATGGAGAAAGGCAGGGCAATGAAGGGTGTGCCCAGGGAAGGGTCAGGGCCAGGGTAACTTCAGACCCAGGCTGTACTTCACCATACACCAGCTTCCTCTCTCCAGCTGGGATTAGCTTACCTCCATTCCCCAAAACTACAGGTAGCCTGTTCTTCAGCGCCTGGCCTGAAACCTATGTCATGGCCAAGTGTGGTCATTATCCCCCAGTCCCAGCAGCTAGTGTTTCTCCCCCAAACCTAGGGAAGCCTGGGTGCTTCCCTGTCCGTGACTCCCTAGAGGACACAGGAGACCACGGCTGCAGGCCTAGCTGGGAGGAGAATCACTGGGTGACTTCCAGCTAGTGGCTTGCCCTCTCTGAATGACCTCCTAGGGCCTTTCCAACTCTTACATTCTTTGGGGTGGGAGATGGGCCTCTGGATTTTTACACAGTCACTGAGGTCAGCAGAAGAATTTGAAAGAAAGACAAAAAACCAGAAGTGAGCAGAGTCCTGCCCACAAGCACCAAAGCCCACCTGGGAAAAGCCCACACAAGGAGTCTAACTGTCTAAAGCTACGCCCTCCTCTGCCACTGCCTGCCCTCTCCAAGCCTCTGTTTTCTTTAATTTTAAATTTTATAATGACGGCTCAACTGTCCCCACCTTAACATTTCACTCCAAGTCCGTTTTGAGGGGAGCCTGACATGGCAACAACCATGAACCACACAGGGCAAACTGTGAAGTCTGCTTCCCCAAAGAAGGACAGTAAGAGCAAAGGTCAGAGGGAGTGAGGGGGAACATACTGTCCCATCTCAATCCAGTTCTGTCCAAAACGAGCCTTCTAGCTGTGGGCACCTGAAATATGGTCCTGCTCTCAGCAATCCTCCTATGGTAACAGAACTCTGGGCAAGTTATTTCTCTTTGTTCCTCAGTTTCTCCCACTGAAATCCAGACATCTTGGTACCCTCTGATCCAGGCATGCCCTTGCTCTGCAGCTCAGAAAGCCTAAACCCCAGCTTTCAACCTTTAATAGTCCTCAGGATGCTCACAGAGCCCAAGGGAGTCAGGACACAGATCACCTGTGTCCTGAGGGGCTCCCCTCCAGGAAATGGGGGAGAAGGTGGCTACATGGGCTCAGAGTAGAGTGCAGGACAGACAGACTTTCCCAACAAGGGAAAGGCCTGGCCCAACCCCACATCTCCTTAGATAGCACAGGCCACCCCAGATTTTGTGGGTCTGGCTTTTAGATCCTCTGCAGCCCATAGACCCAGCAGGTCCTGACCTGTCCAGCCTCAGGACAGGAACTCAACCCAAGTCCAAACTGCCTCCAACTCAGGGGCCTCTGGGGTGTCAGGGCAAGGGTGGCAAAAAGGGGTAGGCTGGAATGCAGGGGAGAGAGAGGCCCACGGCCTGAGGGGCCTGACAAACCAACCACCCCTTCCAGATGCCACCTCCGAGGGCCAAGAGTACCCCAGGTAGAATGGGGTTCCTTTGCCAAACACTCCACTTGCCCCAAGTGTGTGTGTATGGGGGGGAATCACACACATACACACACACATACACACACACACCCCAACCCACTAAGGGCAAGATTCCCGCCTACCAAGGGTCCTGACCACCCATGAAGGAAGGAGCAAGGCCCACCCCTGGTTCCTGAAGGTTCCACAGATGCTCCAAGGCAGGGTGGTGTGAAGGCAGGATTCTTTCTTCAACCCTGGAAACCCTGAATCCCTTCCGAGTCTCCAGTGCCAGCCCTCCTCCCCCAAATCTGGAAATATAGTCCCTTGAAATGCCATTTCTACAGAGCCCCTTTCCAAAAGACTCTCCGTTCCCCCCAAAACTCCCACCCCCAAGCCCTCCGCAATCCGTCCCCCACCCTCCCCCGCGCGGCACTGAGGAACCCGGCAGTTAACTTTCCCCCCCCCAAACCCTTGCAAAGGCGGCAAGCTGGGGGGGGGATGGGGGCGGGTGAAGCGAGCCCCCAAGATCCTTTCGCGGGCATCTCACCGCCTTCCAAAAAAAAAAAAAAGCTTAAAAAAAACTTTCCGAGTTAACTTTACATCCCCATCCCTCCCCCGAAATCGGCCGCCCCCCCCGCGCTTTTTTTTTTTCTTTAAAGTGCAATTGCATTGTGTCTCACCTCCCCGAAATGGCTCGAAGCTCTCGCCAAAGAAAAGGAAAAAAAGCCAACCCTTCGGGTGCCCCCTCTGCTTCCAGCCGCCTCTCCCACATTCTCAGACAGTTTTATTAAAATTTTCAGACAAAAGAAAAACAAAAATGGCAGCCTGGCTTATTTTTAAAACAGGACAGGGACGCCATATTCTGCAGATCTGCAAAAAAACGGAGAAATCCGGCCCTGGCCGCTCCACCGGGCCGGCTGCGAAGTGCGCGAACCGCGCCGTTTGCAATCCGTTTATTTGCATTAAGCCCCATGAATCATTGTTTACCGGAGAATTGCAGCAGGTTTGAATAGCCCGGCTTAAGAAAACACACGCACACACACACACACACGCACTCGCACACCCGCCGCACACACCCGCCGGAGAGACACACTTCCG